CCTTCGACAACTATACAATTATACTAATCTTAAATTCATACATTACATTGAGTGCATAAAATACTCCTTCGCTTAACATTATTCATTTGACGAAAACTGAACAGAAATATGAATAAAGAATGTGAACATTTGCGGTAAAATTATAATTAGTTGCATTAATTTACCAATCAATTTATCGAATTTACTGACAACTATATAAAACCCGATGCGAATATCAGTGCTGCTAAGATGGTCAACTTTCTGAATTCGAAGAATTACTACTTGAATAGAAAATACCTTGATAGGGCAAATAATGATTTAGAAGCAGTAAGTGAAGAGAAATGATTGATATGAAAACTGATTAGAGTAATAATAGTAATGAACAGTTATAAACCTGAGTTGCTGCTTGAGTTGTTGCAGTGGGTTGAGATAATATTCCACGAACTGCAGTATTTTATTGATATACATCGGCGACGAATATAAATAACGAATGGATAACTCTGAAAGCCATCCATTGAAATCGAAATCTGTCTCTATATAACGCTGCACTAATTCGTGTTGATTCGCGAATTCATTTATCAGCTCGTATACCTTAAATCGATATTAGTCACTGCATGAATATTTTGTACAGTTCTGGGATCAGCAAACTGTAATGTTTTCTAACGGATAATTTCACATATTGATACTCTTCACACGCTCTCACATTACCGTAATAACGGCAATCATTCTATCAATCACCTAATCAATCTGTTAAAAAGCAAATGTCAACTAAAACATTTCATCACCATTCATTACAAATGTTCATCTTTTAACCAACAGATAATTAGTATTATCGATTAATATGGTACATTCTCTCAATAATAATCATCATCCAGCATTAATAATACCAAGACGTATTACTGAAGTATCATCACACAGACTCATGTCTGAGCACCCATTATGCATTCTATTCCTAACAATAGACATTGATACAACAAGAATACCTGAGCACCAGGGAATTGACAGCCAACGACAAAACCGCGGTCTGTTGGAAGGTTGCACTTGAACAATTTGGAAGTATTCGGGTAATGATACTCCGCGTTGTGAACGCGGCCATCGATCACACTCTCTAAACTCATCGACAGTGCTGGCACTGCGACTGGAAACAGCTCACACAACACCGCCATATGATCGTAACGCGACCAACCAGTCAGTATCAATCCCTTCAACGTTATTCATTTAGTAATCATATTTCACCTGAATCAACAAAAATGAATTTTAAACCCTTCAACAACAACAACAACAAATAACAATAATAATAACAACATCAAAACACCTGTACAAATTGAAAATCTCGGTAATTCGCAGTGAACTGCATAATCCACGCTTCATTATTGCGAATGTAATGAATCGGGTTTGACGAATAACGCATTGGTCCATCAGCTCCTTTGTACGCTGATGCACCCCACACTTTATTGAATGGCTGAAATGTATCTATTTGTTCATCAATGCTAATGCTAGCCCTCTATTATTATAGCATAATCACTGCTATTTTAATCATGACCTCAGCCATTAGTGTGAGATTACCGATTCCGAAGATTTGAATAAGGTGCCTATTTTCCTCATCAGCTTATAGCAACGAAGACATATGAAAATAATGATAAAAACATCATTAAGATGACATAATGA